TAGTATTCAAGGCACAAACACTCGCATGCCAGCCCATCCTCTGTCACAAACCAGAATCTAGACACACAAAATAACAATAGTGTCAACTCCCTCCCGCTGCTATCTTGTTTATCTGGAATGATGCCGGAGCCACAGAAGCTGCAGCCCAACTCGATGTTGCGGAGATGTTAGGAGCAGGAGAGCTGGGAGTCTCTAAAGTGAAGAGCAAAGCCGGAGGTTGGAGGGGAAAAAAAAGGGGCCGCAGGAAGAGCTAAGAGGCTGGAGGGCAAGTAGAAGAAAGGATAGAGGAGGTGGTGAACTTACACCAAACACCCCTCTGGCCAATAAAGGCTACACGTACTTTCATACAAGCTTCCCGATCTAGCAGTCTGCCTCTGTGTGTCACCCAGGAGGGAGGGAGAGGAGGGGGGGAGGATTGACCTGGCCCAGTCCAAATGCTGCCAGGAGGATTGGATGATCCTGCTTAGGCAGGGTGTGCTGTGAAGCAAGCTAATGAGAGGCCTGTGTGTGTGTTGGCTGGCCTTGCTGAGGGGCTCTGGGTTCAGCCACCCGGGGGCAATCTGCCCAGTGATGCTGGGACACATATGACCCCTCCAGCCCTCCGTCCTGGATTACTGTTACCACCGCCGCCACCACGAGCACGCAAGCGTGTACGTTTTTGTGCATGCACAACATTTTGAACTCGTTTTTTAATCTCCTTCATCCTAATCATCAGCACTTTTAACAATTACCAAAATCCCAAAGTCACTCCTAAAGCCCGGGGGACTGGGGGAAGTAAATTAGTTCTTTAGCTAACCCCAGCATATTTACAACAGCGCTTTATAGCTGTTATGATGTTGATGAATGTGCGCTGCCCCCTGCCAAATAAACTCATAATCGAGTGATAAAATAATGAATGAATTCCGAGTGGAACAACAGCCCGTGACGCCTGCCAATTTCCTCACCTCTCCTGTGTATGTGAATGTAAGTGTGCGTGCATGTGTTTACTGTCTGGAAGTAGCGGTGTGTGTTTAATGCTCACTTGCACATGCAACAAAGAGGATACATTAGGACCACACACTCTTTACACATGTGTCGGACAGGGATGGGGAAGGGGGGAGGTCAGGCCCCCTGAGGCTCATTTACGTGTGCAGGCATCAGTGGAGCGGCTGCGATAGATCTGTCTCCTCGCATGTCTGTATTTTCAAGCTGCATACCTGCGTGTCCGTGCGCCTTGCTCTTCCTGCAAGACCCAAAGAAAGGAAGAAAAAGGGGAAAAGATTGCAGCCTCTGGCCCGATTGGCTGCCTTCTTTTTTCTCCTTCCCCTGGCCTTTCCATTCTGCCACATCAGCTGAAACCTCTTTTCACAGCTCCTGTTGCTCTCAGCTCGTAAACTTACACACACTCCTCTTTTTCACCAAAAGGGAAGAGAGGGGAGGTAGGAGCCGGCATGCTTTAACAGGCAGCTTGAGCAATATGGTACATATTCTTTCCTTTCTTCTCACCACTGCATTCCTTTTTCTTGTTTACACTCCCCTCCTAAAACAAAAAGAAAAAAACTACCCAGTGGATATTGTCTAATCATTTCGCCTAAGGATGCATGTAGGCTTACCAGACTCCTGCTTACTTATCCACACAGCCCAGAAAACCCTCGGTGCGTGCATTATTCATGAAGGGAAAACCCAACAGCACGGGTGAATTTCAACGCGGGTTGAAAAACGGGTGTGGATTCCGAAAGGCGCAAACAATCAGCGTTGGAATGCCGCTGCTTTGATACGACGCCCCGTTTGACCCACTGACACTTATTCCACTCAGTGTGTCCCTCGCCAAGAAGATTTCCAGTGATTCCAGTCTTTTTTTTTTTTTTTGTAGTTGAAACACTTAGCCTAGTTAGCTAGTCTTTTATCCGGCACCAATTAGCCAGCGATTAATGAATTATTGAGAAACGGGAAAAGGGGGGGGATTAAATTTTAATAGGGGATCTTAAGGGGAATAGTTGTATTACAAGTCACTGCGAGCTGCGAACGAGGAGACGCCCACCTTCAGCAGGCGTTTACAATAATCTACAGACGTTTACTGAAGTATGGAAAGAGAGAGAGAGGGGGGAAAAAAAAAAAAAAGAGGGGTGAATGAGAGGTTTTGGCTTTAACAACAGACGCTGAAATCAAACTTGCAAAACTGCCAAAAACTACAAAACTCCATATGCTGTGATCAGAGGAGTGACCACGGCCAACATTTTGCTCGACTTGAATTCGTTTTCTGTGCGCGAATGTGTGCGTTTGATCCCACGTGGGGGTCATCTGCCACCCCAACACCCACCTCAGCATCAGGCTGCCCCCCACCCCCCCAAAAAAAATCTCCTGAGCAGTAATGCAAGATTCGATCTTTCATTAGGGCAGCAGTGTAAGGCCGATAATAGGAGATGCTGAGATAAGGATAATGTAAGTCTGCTTGGGGGGGGGGGGGTTCCTCCCAAGGTGATCGTTCTGGTTCAGTTCCCTCTTCCTCAAGCAGAACCTGTATTGGCACTTGAGACTTAACTGGTATTGATTTACTTAGGGTTAGGACTGTCTCTACCCCCACTCTGCTCTCTCTGCCGCTCCCTCTGTTTCTTTTTCACCTCCCGGCACCTGCCTCTGTTTATATTCCTCCCCTGAACACTTCTTCTGTCTCCTTTCTTTCCGTCAGGCTGCGGGAATCTCCACTGATGGAGCAGTCAATAAAAGCGTGGACGTACCGGCTTATGACTCCGAGCATTCCGATGTTGTATTTTATTCTATTTAACACATATTCCAGGAATATGGCAGCGGAGTTGGAGGCGAGTGCACCCGTAGATGCCTCTTCACCTCTGTCGTTCCTAACACTTTTTTTTTTTTTTTGGGTGCGTCGGCGGCTGCTGTAGCGCCATAATTAGTGGCTGGATGTGACACATGTTTCCAATTTGCTACGTCTGGTCACCGAAGGGGGTTGGGTGGGAGAGGGAATGACAGAGCAAGGTGAAGATACAGAGAGACGGAAAGTGACAGGAGGAAAGAAAAAACGAAGAGGAGAAAGAGGGAAATAGAGGATGCATGAGAAAAATATGTAAGAAGAGGAAGAGAAGGAGATTGCTCGCAGGCGGAAAGAAAGGTGGGAGGCGAGGCGGAGGGAAGCTGCAGGTGGACGGTCTAAACTTCAAAGCAGCACATCCAGCAAAGGTCTAGAGGTTAACAACGTGACAGTCCATTTGCTACACAGACAAGATGTGAGCCATACATGTGCTGCTGCACCTGATTGATACACGCCGCTGCTTGTGCTTACTTTTCGCCTCGTTTCAGGAGTACAAACCAGATGTGTGGTGCTTCCAGAAGCTTGTCCTTGGAAGATGCACACTTTTTTTTATTTTTTTTTTTTATTTGGACAAGCACGGGCTTTTAACATATTTCAGCCCAGGGCCAAATACTGTTTTGCCCCGAGGAAGCCGATGCTAAAGTACCGCTCTTGTCATGTCGAGAGCAAGGAGAAACAAGTACATGAAAGTATGTAAAGAGGCCAAGGAAATAAACTGGATGAATGACTAAGCTGATTAACGATGAATAGTAAGCTTCAAGAATAAGCTTCATAGTATACAATAGGCTTTGTATTTTGAATATATGAGTGAGCAAATCTGTGGAAACGACTATGAAGTCTGGCGTCAAAGCCACCACCCCTCTAATTGCCAGCCAGGCCCGATCACTAAGCCCTGACGCCCACCTAACACCGAACTCCATTAGGAGACAATGGCGTGGAATCACCTGTAAGGCCTCCAAAGCTCCCGGCTGTTAGCTTCTCAGTGGAAATTACCCTCCCGTGTCCAACTCTACTCCCTGTTGGGTGAATCCACCCACTGCTGACAAAAAGCCCTCATTAAGGGCTTCATGCCTGGCTCCACAGCGGGGGCCCACGCACAAGTCACATCTGTGGAGAGGTGGAGAAACCGGGCAGGCCATTGCCTACAGCACATGGACGCATTAAAAACCTGTTAGGCTCGGAAAAAGCCTCTGGCATGGGTGTGAGCGGAGGATAGTTTGGGACATAAGAGGAGCTTAAATTTGCCTTTGTGTTTCTACAAAGTGCACTTGCAAGAATCGGCACTGATAGTTTATATCATTCTACCAATTTGTCCCCCCGTAAGGCAGCTAGGATTTGAAGACATGGATCACGAAAAGCCCTCCCTTCCTTCACCTCCATACAAGCCACCTTGTTATTCTCCAGCCCCCCCCCCGCTCACACACAGATCCATTCAGACACAGGGAAATTGGCAGAGGTGTGAGAAAACTGGTGTCGGTAGTTAAGGCCGGACGACGGAGAGGTGTTTAAAATGGCATTTCCTCAGCTAATGCCTGACACCTTCTCCAGAGGAAAGAGAAAAAAAAAAAATGCAAATGAGCGTGGCCGAGTGGGCAGACTGGCTGTTGGAGGGGGGCCCGAGGGCCGAGGCCTGGACTTTAATCAAGGTCATCCAGCAACTGCAATTAGGAGCATCACACAAGTCTTTATTATCCCACACACAGCTTCAATCTCTTCGCCCTGCAGCTTGACACAGACTTTGGCAATGAGAAGAAACTGCAGCTGGATTATCCACAATAATCAATGTGACAAATTCAGAGCAGCTGTTAAACAGAGCAGCTCAAGGTACATTTATCAGATTACACTGTTTAGATTGAACTTCTGCTCAACTGCAAACAGTAATGATGGACTGGGGAGGAAAGTGCAACGAACTGGCCAAATGGAAACCTTGATAAAAAATAAAATAAAATCACCAACACCCCTCAGAGGAAGTCTGCGGTAGGCCTGCACTTTGCACTGAATTTTCTGCCCCTGATGGAACTTTATGGTGTTCTGTGTGCCATGTTGCATTTGCAAGAGAGTCGCTTGTAAGTTGCATTTTGAGCATGCGATTAAACATAAATTTAGATTTTGTTTTTTAAACTCTCTCAAGCTCAGGCTGGGAAACTTCAGCAATTAGTCAAGCAGGAAAAAATAAATAAATAAATCTTACCTTTCGTTCAGGGAATTCCAGTAGATGGGCTCCATATTGCTGGCCGTCGTCCCCAGTAAATCCAGTAAGAATACCAGCAGGATCCCCAATCCATTCCCACTTCCTCGACACGCCATTTCAACCCTGACGCCCAGCATGTGCAGCCCCATTTAATCAGAAAACGGGCAATATTTGCTGTGTTTTTTTCAATGCTGTTGCAAGGAGACACTCAAAACAATGGATGTGCCGACCGCAGCCGATTTTTTTTTTTTAAGGTAGAGACAGTCAAAGTGTGAAGTGAAAGCCTGCTGCTGCTGTACACAACCTCATGGATCCGAAATTTAACGAATTGCACTGAATCACACCGGTGGAAAAAAGAAAACAGTGAAAACGTGCAGGAGAAACTTGCTCAATCCGTGCGTCTGGATCTCCAAAAACGACGCGTTTTTTCTCTGCGCGTCCAACGCTCGTACTATTTCAATTCCATGACTTTCCCATTAATTTGTCATTAGTCGTCCCTTTTTTTCTCCGAAGCAGCGCTCCTCAGCTGGAATAGAACTCCAACAGAATGAGAATTTCAGAGAATTCTCACCACCCAGGAGCTATTTCTGTTGCCTTTCGGTGCGCCCTAATTGTCTTTTTCCGAACAATGTTCCCTTGTTCTCTGTGCCGACTCTGTGTGATTTCTCTCCCATTACCTTGTTCCCTCGCAAGAATATCTACCTTCCAACATATCAGGGTGGACTGAGGAGGGAATATTGTCAGTATGTTAGAAGGACGCGGTGGAAATGAGGCCAAAAAAAAAAAACGTTTTAAAATGGAAAAGATGTCACTCGTGTCCACAGCTCCATCCTCATAAAGACATGTTGATGCTCGGCGGGCTCAGTCAATGCGCATTACAATCCTTCTTGTTCAAAAAGAAAAGAAAAAAAACAGGTTGAATACGGCTTGTAAATCCTTCCCAAAAGAGTGGAATTAAAAAAAAACAAAATCAAGATCCAAAAACCGAGGATAAATCCAAGAATCAATTCAAAACTGAGAGAAACAAACCAAAGAGCTAGAAAAGCATCCCCACTCTTAATAAACAGGCCGACGTGAAACTTGCAAAGTGGTTAAAAAAAATAAATAAAAAGGGAAATAAAATGTGACTTGTGAGCATCAGTCCCCTGTTGAATACAAAAAAAAGGAAGAAAAAAAATCTAGCCAAAGCAGCGCATCATTTGGAGAAGCTGGACGCGGCGCTTCGTTCGTTATCTCATCCGTCTCTCTGCTTCAAAATCCCACTGGTTTGACTTGCCCTAATGCTCGCAGCACATTGACAGACCGACTGGCTTGTTTGAGAGGAGGAGGAGGAGGGAAAAAGGGGACGTGGATGAATGGAAAAAAAAAAAATCCCCATCCTCCGACTGGCAGGCAGGGCGCACTGACGGAGCGCAATTCTTCCAGGTTTTTTTTTTTTTTTTTTTTTTGGTGGGGGCGGTATCGAGTCCCTTTCAGCACCTCCTCTCTCCTCCTCCTCTAAGAGTTTCAGGGAGCCCCCCCACCACCCCCAGACTCGGACCTTTGGACTCCCTGGCGTTCTATTCTGCCTTCTTTCAAACGCAGAAGAAGAAGAAGAAACTACCCCCCCCTCTCCAACGCCACCTTTCTAAACGCTCTCCACCGTGCGCCTTCACGGAAGAGCAAGAGCGCCCTCAATGCATTTCCAGGGCATCACATGTGGCTCGGGATGCAATTTCAGAAGGATATTATGCAAATGTCACAGCAAAGCTACATCCTATAGGAGCGTTTAGGGTTTATGATAGAAGAAATGTGCCTCAAGGAACACTGTGAGCTCCAACTGCGGCTCCTTGTGGATGTATTAGAGGAAAGTTATGGCACTGTTTTAGAGAATTTCACAACCACTGTGCGCATATTTTAGGGAAACTAGCTCAAAGTAAAAGCACGTCCTCCGCTGGACTGGAATCGCCTCATACATCTGCAGCCCAGTCTAAACAAAAAAGAATCTCCCAGTGTGGGAAGATGCGGTTCCATCTTGATCCCTGTGTGCGTAAAAATCAGTCCCAGCATCAAAGTGGCCCGGTTCAAGCCTGATGAGTTGCAGGACGAGCAGGTTGACAGGAACCCAGCTGAGGGGCCACACACGTACACCGGTGTTTATTCTGAGGCCCTGGTCCTGCCACTGATTCACTTATAGGATTTTACGCACACACACACAGGAACATGTTGGAGGTGGAGATGGTCAAAGCTGTGGCTGTACTGCCCCCATGTGGTAGAAAGATGGCACGCGCCAGAGAGTGGTGGTGGTGTTGCCTTCAAGAAGCCCAAAATGTGGTTTTATATGCTTTCAACACTCCTCTTTAGCAGAATATGGAGTTGGATTTTGGTGTACTACAAAATGAAAGTCATGCCATCTCAGCCTCTCATCCTCCAGAATTTACAGTTCTTAAAAAAAATCAGTTTCTTCTGAACTTTCTGCACTTTTTCTTAAAAAAATTTTTAAAAAAGTCTGAAGGACAAAATGACAAAATATGCACAAAAAGGTGAGGGCTGTCTTCCAAAAATGGACACAAATCCTGAAAATAAATGATATTTGGTAGTTATGATCAGGACTGATGCTGGTTCTAAAATCTAACTCAGTAAAAGTAGAAAATAATATAATATATAAGATTTTATGACCGTTTTAATGTTGACATTTTACTCTTTAAGGTCCTCAGTGAGTTTTTCAAAAATTTGACACTGCACACAAAATAGTGACACAAAATCATGGATCAGAACCAATGTTGTTACTAATCATTGATCTATATATATATTAAAAAAATCAACATATCACTTATCATATAGAAAATAAAGTATTTCTGTGTGACACCATGTAAACAAACTGGGAATTAAGACGTCAAAATCCTGTAAATTATTGAATAAATGTTTGCTCAGTACAATCAGGCTTGAGGTTGGTTATACAATTTTTTAAAAGTGGAAAATAATATAAATATATAATCATTTTATAGTAGTTTTTTAATGTGGATAGTTTTTGTCTTAAAGGTCCTGAGTGTGATTTATTTATTTATTTATTTATTTTTTAATCTGACAATGCAGAAAAATAATAATGCATCAGGATGTTGATAATTACTGACACATCCCAGACTGTGACAAGAAAAAAGCAAGAAAAAAAAATTCATAAAAAGTAAATAATTCAATTTTGTTGTTGCAAAAAGCTGTGGCATCATGTTTAAAACAAAACAATTAACAGTTAACAATTAAAACCTAAAATGGAATATTTGATAGTTATAATCAGGCCTGATGTTGGTTAAAAACAGAACTCAGTGAAAATGAAAAATAATATTTTTATGGCAGTTTTCATGTGGCTGTTGTTGTCCTTAAGGTCCTGAACGCTGACACAGCACAAAAATAATCAAATCAGTGTCAGTGACTTATCTCAGACTGTGAATTAACACACAAAAAAATCAATCTATCACTTAGCATGTGGAAAATTGTCAATTTTTTGAGTGTGTTCTCAAAAAAGTTTTTTTTGTCATTGACATTTTTGTCCTTCAGGTCCTCTGTGTAACTTCTCTACATGAGTTAATATTCTGCACATTTGTCAGATTTTGACTGTCATTTCCCATACAGAGACTCCATACATACCTTTCACTCCAACCAGCAATGTTTTTTATTAGTGATCCATCTGTTCCCCAAACTGCATCTCGGTACAACACAGTTACACATGCCGACTGAGAGAGAGAGAAACAAATAAAAACGAAAAAAAGGCTTTTAATATTTTTCATTGAAAATATTTCACTTTACAACAGCAGAGAGGGGAAAACTTGACGCACCATGCAACACCTCCTGCTGTTCCTGCACAGCCAGGGAAAGAAAGGAAATGAAAGCGAGACGGAGAAGGAGGAGAGTGCAGAGACGGAGGATAAAGAATTATAGAAAAGTCAAATCCACAAGAACAGCAGACCTGAAGTTGGAAGTGACTCACTGTCATGCTCAAGGGCACTGCAGCAGAGCAGATGAGTGATCTTACAGGGAATCAAACCAAGGTCTGCAGGCTGAAGGGAGGAAGACAAAAGTGCAAACGTTTTCTCTGGAATGCAAAATTACAGCGTGCTTTCAACTAGAATTGTAATTGCAGGATACGAAACAAGATACAAATACAGTGGGGAGATTTTATAGAGCTGGTCAGAGACCCAAAAAAAAAAAAGAAAGAGCAGAGATGGAGCTGTTTCTGTTGCACTGACCTCCAGAAACCTTGGCAGGGCAGATGACAGAGCTAAATGTAGTGGAGGAAGATAGACTGGTTTAGAGACAACAGCAGTTCAGAGGTGGAGCTGGCATGAAAAACAAACCTTCTGCTCTGTCTGGGAATCTGTGTGGGAAAACTGGCTGCCTTGTGGCTCTCGTTCTGTTTGTGCGAGGAAGATGACTCGTTTTTAAAAACTGCAGAGCTATATGATACCACCTACATCAGATCTGAATAGCTGAATGTTCTCTCAGGAGTGACGCGAGTGGAATGATGGAGTTTGGGGATGCTTCATATACACTCATGGCGGGTATGGTGGTGTTTATTAGTGTTCATTTATTCAGGCTGACCTCATTTACTGCACCGACCTTCAACTCTTCTTCATAACCGCATCCTCTCCCTCGTGACTCTGCTACAGTCTGAAACAGCTGCCAGACTCAAACACACACACACACACAATAAATATACATGCATTTACACAAAAACAAGCATTACTTTCACACAGCATGTATAGCAAAAAGAAAAAAAAAAAACATAAGCAATTACAGTAAGTGCATGGTTGGCATTATGCACGCGGTGCACAGGTTAAGGTTAAGGACAGACACGTGTGCACGTACACACAAACCAGCGCAGACAACCCACGGCGGCGACAACACAAAGACCTCAGACGGGAAAACATGCACCCTGATGGGAATGAAATTCACACCGAGGGTGGTGCAGATATGTGAGGATGTGGGTCGTTGTCAGAGCGCGGCACCCCTCGCCCGCCTTGCAGTTGATAGATCTCAGCTGTATGTCTTTATCCTTCAGCATCTGTCTGTCCCTGTGAGCTTCCTCCTCCTCCTCCTCACACACACACACACTCTGCAGCAGCAAACACTCCTCTGCTGGCAACACTCACACACCTCCTCATATCTTCCTGTGACAGAGTCAGTTTCTAAGGGGGGGGGATTATAATAAGTTGCAGGGGAGGGGTTGTGCAACATGTGATGTGCAGATCACACATATGGATCGTACAGAGCGACTCGCTGATTCTGCATCAGTAAACAATTTGTACCTGACAGCTGACCTCTCTCACACTTGCATTTGCATGCTTAAGCAGCCTCAGCGCGTTTGTGCTCCTTTAGCGATGCTTAAGAGGATTTTCCATTGACTATTTCCATTCTCCAACTTCTAATAATAGCCCCAATTTACTCAAATCTAGCTTGAATTTAAATAGCTTTCGCATTCAAGTCGTGCATTTGGCAGTTGCATACTAAATTTGTTAGATTTCCGAGTGTTGTTTGACACCATTAGCATAAAGCACTGCACAGAGATGAAAGTAAAAGAACTAAGAAACAAACAGAGGAATGTGTTGAAAAAGACGTTCCTCTGTGCCTTGCTTTTATGTCCTTAAGGTCCTGACTGTCAATTTTACAAATCTGACACTGAACCAAAAACAGTCTGTCAAAACCAATTTTGTTGCCAATCATCTGCACATCCAAGACAGTGGTAATGAAGGAAATCAACTTCCCACTTATCATATGGAAAATAATGTATTTTTTGTGAGTGTGTGTTTTAAAGAAAAAGAAAAATAGTGTAAACGAATTAGCGTTTAAATGGTTAAATCCTGAAAATGAATGAAAATTTGATAGTTATGATCAGAATTGATGTTTGTTGTAGACTCAGTGAAAGTGAAAAACAATACAATATGTAATATTTTCATGGCAGTTTTTATGTGGACATTTGTTTTGTGTGTTTTAAATCTGATACTGCACAAAAATAATAATGCATCAGAATCAACATTTTTGCTCGTAACTGATATGTCTTAGGGCTGCAAGGTGGCGCAGTTGGTTGCACTGTGGCCTCGCAGTGGTTGCCGGTTCGCGTCCCGGTTCGCATCTTTCTACGTGGAGTTTGTCTCTTCGTGCAGCGTGGGTTCTCTCCGGGTTCTCCGGCTTCCTCCCACAAAGTCCAAAAACATGTTGAGGTTAATTGGTGATTCTAAATTGTCCATAGGTGTGAACATGAGTGTGCTTGGTTGTCTGTCTCTAAGTGTAGCCCTGTGATAGACTGGTGACCTGTCCAGG